ACTAGACTACTATATACACGTCTATGCGGTCACGTGCACCCAGCTTAATCTGGTCACGTGCACCTAGCTCCGTACGGTCACGTAAACCTCGTTCATATGACCTTACAGAGCTCTACGTATCTCACTATCAAATTTATATTATATATCCGTATTCTATTTAATTTACCGTAATAAAATCTAAAGAAAATGTTATAGCTTAGACGTATAGATTATATTTTATTCTAGAGGGAAAGATAGGGTTATATATATAACACGGAGCTAAGTTGATTTATAATTAACTTAGTTATCTATATAGACATTTCGGAGCTAATTCCGATAAAGCGGCTTACTTCCTAATCTACACTAGCCTTATATTATAATAGAAAATGAAATATAGTCTTAATATAGATAATATATAAAAGTAATAGTCCTTATATAAACCTAATAGATAGTAAAATATAAGGCATTTTATTACTAGTCTTCTAAAGAAAGAAACAAATAGAGCTTAAATTAGTATTTCGAAGATACCTCACTTTTAGATCGGGATAGGCTTAAGGTAGGTTCAAGGTAGGCTTAGGGTAGGCTTAGGGTAAGCTTAGGGTAAGCTCAGGGTAGGCTTAGGGTTAGCAAAATTAGATCTCAGCTCCGATGAGGGGAAAATCTGTGAGTTCCCCGCACTGTATTGTCACGCTTGGTCATTCATTCCCGCCAAGCATCGCTGTATGTTTTGCATGGTAATTTTGACAATACCGGAAGAACTGGTTGTACCACACAGTAATCGTGCCACGCGACCAACAGCTTTCAATACCGGAAGAGGGTGTTGATGGGCCCGGCGCGATTACATGGACCGGTGCCCGTTTTACGTTAGCTTGCAATCTAGTCCTTAGCTGTGATACCATACTGCAGTTTCATGATTTGGACTCTCAATTCGCGACTCTATAGGCTTCAGAAACAGAAGGCAATACGCACCTTGGGAACTATTTCCGAAGCTGCCTCTTGCTCCTGATCTGCACCAGCCTCATACAGTATCACAAAAAAACATGTGGCCATGTCAATTAAGAACGTGACCTGTGTAGCAATTGTCTTAGGGCAGTATGCTCTGAATCATCTTCCCACAATCAACGATGTGAACTTAACGATCATCCACACAATAGAACGCAGTCCAGAAGTTCCACTTTCATTCCACCTCGAATTGCAAGTACTTTGATGCGATGTTCACTATTGGCCTGGGTAAATGTCACTGGGATTAGGGGTCTGTCTGGGCTTTTCTTCGTTTCGGACACCCGTTAGCCTAGACTACGGCATATCGCAAAACACGTCGAACTCTAAAGTATTTACCATGCCAACTACTGTACAATGGAACTCTACGGTCAAGATTGCAGCAAAACCACGTCATCTATGATTGAAATTGAAAACCCTGAGTTTACGCCTAACCGCCAGCAAAACCGTCTATCAGCTAGAAACTGCGCACCACAGAGGTCCCGTCACAGTCTTGTGAGAATCACTGGCATGTCGCTGAAAATGCATGATTTCTGAGAACGTTTCATCACAAATATTGCACGCAATCATCTCGCTCGGCTTCACCTTTTTCAGATGTTTTCTTTTGATGTGTTTGGTGACATCCCCGTGAGAGGCAAATTTCTGAGCACGCTTTGGAGGGTCTAGGTCCGGCTGACCCACACAAATAAAGCAGAATAAGGGTCGATGATCCTTCATAGCAGATCGAAGAGCAATTTCAAGGGGGGTTTCTGGTTGGCAGGTGCTGTCCATCACTTCATTTTCCAGCTGACGTTGATCATGGACCTCGACGTGTTTTCCAGGGTCTTCTGATCTTTTATTCCGCGGTAAACGGCAGGTGTCGCCCTCCTGAAATTGACAATAAGCGGCCACTGAATCAATAGCTTCGGTTCAGCGAGCAATCTCCTCCTCTATCGTTGGGCGTGGTAGAGTCAAAAGACTCTTGATCAGCCGTTGTTGGGGTATAGGAACCTCTGTAGAGCACTTCAGCTGCTTACTTGAAGATTCAGTTGGCCCAATCCCGGACAATTGGCGCTTGATCTCTAACATAGGCTGTTCTCGGTCATATTTGTTTTGCATCTGCACAAGGAGTTTATGCTGTGCGCGCTTCCTGGCTCCCGTTATCTCCTGATTCAGTTTCCTGTATAAATCGTACTCTGGTGTGCCTTTGTTTTTTGACAGAGGACGCTCAAGAGATCGACTGATCTCATCCCGCCGGCGCATTAAGTTTAGTATTTCCGGCTCTTGATTCACGGAGCAAGATTGCTCCGTTGTTAGCTCCTGCGGGCGGTCCGGGTCGATAGTTCGGCTCATTCGGCAAGCAGCGCGCATAATATCTTCTTCTGGGTCCAGGCCACGAATGATGGCGGGCAAATTCTTGGAGATTCTTCTACTTAGGTAGAATTTCAAAAATGTCCGCGTATCAGCGTGATGCATCACAAGGTTGCGGAGGGAGTCGCTGACGGAACCTGGAGCTATATTAGTTGATCAATATTGAAAGATTGAGCAGTGCAACGTACCACTATTGTCCAAAGCTGTGCCTGCCCCATAGCGTAGGCTGTAGGGGCGTGTAACTTGCCGAATACCTGTGATCACGCCAATCTTCTTGACCCATGGTTCCAGGGTTGAGTAAGGGAGAGGTTTGTCGGGTGAGATGCCAATCCCATTCAAAGTCCGTTCCGACATCCGAAATACCGGCACATCATCCATCGCCGGGTCAAGCTGTAGCCGTAGTTCGTTACACTCGTCGCGAATTCGAAGTCCAGGAAGCTGGCTTGCAAGAACCAGTACTTCCTCGCCATCAACACGGGCGAATGCACGGTCTGCAAAAAGAAGGCCCAACAGGAAGACATGCGGACTGAGCACTAATGAAGGATCGAAGATGATTTCGGGGAGGATGTAAGTGTTTCTGAAGGAGGTGTCAATAAGAGACAGCGACGCGAAGTTGAGTGTACTCACGCGTCTTTAGCACCTAGCCACTCCTTGGTGAACTCAAAGGTGAACTCCACCACAATTCGATGTGGGCCGCCCTGCGGGTCGCGGAGAAGACTGACTTGGATGTGGCGATATCGCAGATCGAGGATGGCTTGTGGACGGTTTGTTGTGAGGCCTGCGAGTTGCAAGAAAAGACCGAGCTCAATACGGTGGCGGCCATGTCCGAATTTTTTCTCTGTTGTACTGACAGTGGTCTCTACGACTTTTGCCAGATCCTCAACATCCATAGGAGGCTTATCTCGCCCTTTGATTGACAACTTATACTTTTTGGCCAATCGTCGGATCACCTAGATTCGGAAGTGAATTAGTCTTAGAAGGTCTAGGCCAGATAGGTAAGGATAAAATGGGCGTCCATACTCGACGCATCCGACGATTCATCTGATTTCCAATCTTCTTTGAAGTGGACCGTTCGAAAACTAGCCGAAATACTTTCCAGAATATGTCCAGGGAGCTTTTACACTTAATTCCTGGAAGTCTTCTTCCATTTTTACCGCGTCGTAAATTGAGAGCCCATTCAAGAAAGCTATATAAAATCGGGATGGATAGGCGGCGGTATTCCTCGTTGGGATCTTTCCGAATAAAATGACAGAACCTTAGTAGTACATTTGTGAGTTCACGAGCCTCCTATAGAAGGAGGGGAGCCATAGAAGGGGAACTCACTAGGACCATTTTTCCTCTATACGGTCGAGAAGAGCTGTGGTGCCTTTGCCATAGTCTTCCTACGTGTAGACGGTCTCATCAAAGGTTTGAAGTTACTAGATATAGTACTCCGGCGAGTGCTCATTATCAGCGAAGAGTAAGCTCGCATCGCCAGCATTACATGGTTGATCTGCCTCATCCTCAGGTTCTGTCAAATCAGTATCGGATCCACAGTCTGCAATGCCTTCTCGCTCAGAATCATCGCTTTCGCTAGAGGACTCGAAGTTTGCTTTACGAGAGCGGCGGCCCATGGTTAGAAGGGTTAAGGATCGTAGTTAAAGGAATAAGCCCGAGTCGTAGAACTCTAAAGGCGAAGTCTACAATTCAATAAAAAAATCGTGTTTTAAAGTAGAGGCCAAAAAGAACCTCGTCGAGGAGAGCTCACTAGAATAAGAGAATAAGACGAGGGGGAGGGAATCGCTGCCATTTTTAAATGGCACGATTCTTAGGGGACCCATTTTCGGTGCCCTTAATAACTCGGAGTTTTAGAAGCCAGGGCGAGGGGTTAAGGAAAGGGGAACTATAGAGTGGAACGAAGGTGCCAGCCAAGCCGCCGATAAGGTCCGGTAGAGGGTGCGTCGGTGTAAATGCCGAGGTGAGTGGCAGAACAGTTAGCAAATGGGCGGCCAAAAACGGCCTCTAAAACGGCCATTTCTAGCCGTCCATTTACCGTCATCTAGTTTTTAGTAGTTACTATTTAGCTAGTAAGAATAAGGCCTATTTTAGATATTTATAGTATTTATCGAAAGATACTAAAAAGATTAAGATATTATCTAGATAAATAACTATACTCTAGCCTAATATAGGCTATAATATATTATTAATTACTAATTAGAATATTACTAGTATATTATAAAGCTTAAATAGTATAGTAAATTACTTATATTTATCTTATATAGTATTAAAAGCTATTTTTTTAATAGCGCTCTTCTCTATTTAGATCTACTAATATCTAGTAGTAAGATTAATCTTAGATAAGAATTTAATATCCCTAATAATATCTAAAAGTTTCTAAATATATAGTAATAAATATCTATTCTTTTTAGTAATCTAATTTAATATATAATAATTAATATATATCTACTATTTTCTATTTAGTTTTTTAATAAATATAACTAAGAATCCTTATACGCTATTAGAGTAGTAGATTACGCCTTTATATATTAATTCTTTAATCTAGTATATCTATTTATTAAGCTTCTTTATAGAGAGCGTATATATATTAATATTTATAGATCTTACTATATCTATTTTAATATTATATATAATACTATATTTAGATAATAAAGTAGTAGATAGCTTAATATAGAATAGATCCTTATATTTTTTAAAAATCGTCTATATTTATAGATTTTTATAGTTTAGTAGGATTAACTAAAATATAGTAATATTATTAGGATTCGCTTATACTATAAATAGCTATACTTTAATATTTTTCTTATATAGGATATATATAATATACCTTACTAAAATAAGATTAGTATATATATCCCCTCTTATAATTATATATAAGCTAATTATAGGGTATATATTATACGTTCTATAAATATAGTCTATTAATATTATAATAGATATTTACTAATTAATATATAGATTTTTAGACTAGAGGAAGTTATATCCTAGGATAATATTATACTCTATCTCTAGTATCTATACTTTAATTTAGCTAATCTACCCCTTTAACTTAATAGAGAGGATAATAAACCTAACTATTTCTATATATTTACTATTAATAATAGTAACTATTAATAGAATCTTAGATTTTTAGACCTTTATTATATTATTAAACTTTTTAATAATATAGGATAAGATAAATATATTACTTATATTACTATTAAAAAGTATATATATAGACTAGTTCTACTAGTTTTATAAAGATCTTTCTTTAGTAGTATATTAAGAAATCGCTTATAATATTTAAAGATACTAATAGATATAGAGGCTTCTAGCGATAGCGGTAGTTAATATATAATTTATCTCCTATCTTTACTATTATAAAAAGGAGGATTCTAGCTAGATCTATATATACTTTTTAATATATTAGTATAGATTAAAAAAGTCTTTTATATTAAAGTATAAATCTTTAGAAGTCTATTAAAAATAGCTAGTAAAGGCTTTTATATTATATAGCTATATTAGTTTTCTACTAGCTATATACTATAATTATAGTTCTACCTTTTTTTAGTCTCCTCTATTTTTAGACTATAATACTTTTATATTATATAGCTAACCTTACTATAATTATAGTATATATAGATTTTAGCTATTAGCTATATAACTATAGCTATAAGTTCTATAGTATTAGGGTCTAGTATAGCTAGCTACTATTAATAGTTTATAATAGTAATATCTATTTTATAGTTAATAAAAAGAAGCTTAATATTATATATATTAGTAGATTACTTTTTCTTTATAGTCTACTAAAACTAGAAGTCTAGTTTTATATCTATAATAAAATAATAAATTAGTAGTTACTCTAAGATCCCTATATTAAGATTTATAATTATCTATTTAAGTTTTAAAGCGTATTTAGTAATAGATATATATCCCTATTTTATCTTATCGAATCTTTTTTATAGCTATTTTTAATTAATATACTCTATAAATTCTTACTATATCTAGATTTTAAAGTCTTTCTAGTTCTTAAATAGGGGTTTCTCTTTAATAGCCTAAGACTATATATAATTCCTAAACCGCTTACTTATATCTTTTATTAGCTTTTTACTAATATAAATAACTTTTATTAAATCTAGGATAATATATCCTATAATTATAGTAAGTTTATTAAAATATTAATTATAGTTAGCTATTTATTTAAAAGCTATATTATTAAAGATTATACTACTATAATTATTAATTAGCTATAGGTTATTTAGTAAAGATCTTTTTATATCCTTATCTATATCGCGGAAACTAAGCCTACCTCTATAAAAATATAAAGCTAGAACTATAGTTATAGATATAGTTATCCTTTATAATATAAGGGTTACTATAACTAAAGATATCTATAATATATTTACTATAAGTATACTTAATTAAGCGACTTTAATATAGTAGGTTTTTAAAGCTCTTACTCTTTAGGCCGCTTTATATAGTATTAGATATATAACTTTAGCTATAGTAGTTTAGTATATATATAGATATATCTATATTTCTCTAGCCGTTAGAGAGTCTAAAGCTAGTTAAACCTCTATAGGAAATCCTATATAGACTTATTTAAAGATCTTAGTCTAAAGCTTAGAGATACTTATATTAATAGTTACTTAGGATTATTATTTAATAATAGTTTTTATATACTACCTATCGCTATAAGAAAGGCCTCTTTTTTAAATTAAAAGTAGTATCTTCTTTAGATATAGATCTATTCTAACTTATCTAGTTAAGATATAAAGAGGAAATATTTTCGTAGTTATATATACTAGTTTATTCCGTACTTTACTCTATATAACTATAGCGGTTAGTATATAGCTATACTTAGCCCTACTTAATAAGTTACCTTTTATAAGGGGTAGCTTAATAAGTTATTAGCTAATCTTATTTCTTTAACCGCTATTTTATACGCTCTAGTTATACCGTTTTCCTTATAATCTCTCCTAGATAATAGGTCCGCTAGATCGTATATTAGGTTTAGGTATAGATAGGAATACGTATATCTCTTCGCCTATATAGCTATAGGCTTCTTATAGTACTATTTATTCCTATCCGTACCCTCTCTAGGCCTCTATAGAAGGAGCCTTAAACCGATATACTACTAGATATAATTTAGAAAGGATCGTATAGTTTATATTAGACTAGGAGTACTAGACTACTATATACACGTCTATACGGTTATATATACCTAGCTTAGTCTAGTTACGTATACCTAGCTCTATATAGTCACGTAAACCTCGTTTATATAACCTTATAGAGCTCTACGTATCTCACTTCTTTCTCGCTATTAAAGATCGCGAAAGTACTATATAGGGCTTTACTTTTTTTTTTTTTACTAAAGAGTACTCTCTCTAAGTAGTAAATACTTATAACGTTTATAAAGGTCGCTTTTTACTCTTCTTTAAAGATCTTAGTATACTATTAATAATAGAATTAGGGTTTAATTAGCGTAAAAACTTATAGAAAGTTATAGATTATATTATTCTCTTATTTTATAAACTTAACTTCTACCGATTTATACTTTATATAAAGGTTTTCGACTTTTAATAGCTAAGTATTAATACTAGTATCTTTAACTAAGATAAGGAGTAGCTTATACTATAACCTATAAAGTAATTATATCTATATAATATTAGAGAATAAGAAGCGCTTTTAAAATAATTTAAGTAGCTTCCTTATATCCTTAATTTCTACTATAAGACTTTATAGTTCGATAGTAAGTATATTCTAATCCTTTCTAAGATCTTATTAAATACTAGTCGGGTTATTTAGTAGTTAGCTAGATTATTATTATAGTCCTTTTAATCGTACTAATAGTTAATCTAGGCCTCTTTCGTTAGGCGACTAGTGCCTTACTCCTTATCGTATTTTTTATCACTCTTATCCGGTCGGCTTAGTTTTACTAGGAGAGTAGGTCGCTTTACTTTCTTAAGCTTTAGGTTAATATATTCCTAAACGTTAAGGTTCCTTACTACTATTTCTACCTACGCGATCTAGATATACTATTAGGTTAAGCTTTTAAGGATAATTCGTGTTAGTTATAATATAACTTTAATAGCGTATATATAAATAGTAATATTTAGTTATTACTACCCTCCCTACCTTACGGCTCGACCGGCCTATATATACTAGTTTATTATACTATATTTCCCTAGTTTATCGTAATTTAGGATAACTACGCGACCTTAGATACTACTAAATCTAGATTATAGGAGGACCTTACTAATATATACTAGGAGATAATAAATATACCGCGTATACCTTCTAGATTAATAAGTACTCGTATAGGCGGTCTACTATACCCCTTCCCTACCGCTATACGCCTCTAAACTAGTAGGTATATATTAAGCTACTTAGTAGGTGCTAAGAAATAGACTAATCGGGCGGTATATATATACTTAAACACTCTATTTAGGCGGGAGAAGGTAGCTTTATAAGAGTATATCGCTACTTAAAGACACTATACTCTCGCTACCTTTATATAGTGCTTCGAGGAGATAAAGTAGGTAGAGAAGTCTATATTTAGCTAGAATTCCTTCTTCGTATAAAGGGAGGCTAGGTTAATATAAGAAGCCTTTTATAAGCTATTTTATTTAGTAGG